ACAAGGAAAACGGCAATCAAGGAAGCTGTTGTTGCAAATGGTGCAACTGTGATTATGAAACAGTGACCGCAAGTGTTAGAAAATGTTGAGAGACTGTTATTGGTGTGGATAAATGAAAAACAGATAGCAGGAGATAGCATCTCTCAAGCGATCATTTGTGAAAAGGCTAGGAAGTTGCATGACAATTTGGTAAAGAAATTGCCTGCAACTAGTGGTGATGTGAGTGAATTTAAGGCCAGCGAAGGTTGGTTTGAAAGATTTAAGAATTGTAGTGGCATACATAGTGTCATTAGGCATGGTGAGGCTGCCAGTTCAGACCAAAAAGCAGCTGAAAAATATGTGAAGGAATTCAAGGATTACATAAGACAGTGAAGACTTGAAACCTGGTCAAGTGTTTAATTGCGACGAAACAGGCCTGTTTTGGAAGTAATTGCCAAGCAGGACCTACATTACTCAGGAGGAAAAGGCACTCCCAGGAGATAAGCCTATGAAAGACAGGCTTACTCTTCTGATGTGTGCCAATGCTAGTGGTTATTGCAAAGTGAAGCCTTTATTGGTGTATCACTCAGAAACTCCCAGAGCGTTCAGGCAAAAGAATATCCTCAAGGCTAATTTTTGTGTGCTGTGGAGGGCAAACACTAAGGCATGGGTCACTAGGGACTTTTTTTATGACTGATTATACCATGCATTTGCCCCCAATGTGAAAAATTACCTAACTGAAAAGAAATTAGACCTTAAGTGCCTCCTGGTATTAGACAATGCTCCTGGTCATCCTTCAGACTTGACAGAGCGACTTTCTGGGGACATGAGCTTCATTAAGGTCAAGTTCTTGCCTCCTAATACCACTCCTCTCCTGCAGCCCATGGACCAGCAGGTTATTTCCAACTTCAAGAAACTGTACACAAAAGCTATGTTTGAAAGGTGCTTTGTAGTGACCTCAGAAACACAACTGACTCTAAGAGAGTTTTGGAAAGATCATTTTACCATCCTCAATTGTGTAAACATTATAGGTAAGGCTTGGGAGGAAGTGACTAAGAGGACCTTGAACTCTGCCTGGAAAAAACTGTGGCCAGAATGTGTAGACAAAAGGGATTTCGAAGGGTTTGAGGCTAACCCTGAGAATCCTATGCCAGTTGAGGAATCCACTGTGGCATTGGGGAAGTCCTTGGGGTTGAAGGTTAGTGGGGAGGATGTGGAAGAGTTGGTGGAGGAGAACAATGACGAACTAACCACTGATGAGCTGCTAGATCATCTTCAACAGCAAGAGGCCAGACCTGAGGAAACTGCTTTGGAGGAGGGGAGAGAGAAATTGAAGAAGTTGCCTACTTCAAAGATTAGGGAAATGTGTGCAAAGTGGCTTGAAGTGCAAAGCTTTTTTGATGAAAATCACCCTGACACAGCTACTGCAAGCCGTGTTGGCAACCTGTACACTGACAATGTTGTGAAACACTTTAGGAAAGTCATAAAGGAACGAGAGGTACAGGCCACTATGGACAGATATGTTGTGCGAAAGAAGTCCAGTGACTCAAGCTGGTCCTAGTGGCATTAAAAGAAGAAGGGAAGTAACCCCAGAAAAGGACTTGCTATCTCAAGTCCTAATGGAGGGGGATTCCCCTCCTAAACAATAGGTTCGACACTCTCCCCTCCTCCCATCCCATCAATCATCACCAGATCTTCATTAACCCTTTGAGGGTTTCGGACGTACTAGTACGGCTTACGACCCAGGGTTTTTGACGTACTAGTACGCCTAAATTCTAGCGCCCTCAAATCTAGTGGGAGAAAACTGGTAGGCCTCCATAGGAAAGAATGGGTCTATGTAGTCAGTGTGCATGGTATAAAAAAAATCCTGCAGCACACAGTGCATAATGAGAAAAAAAAACTTTGACCGTTTTTTTGGAATAAAACAGCGACTTTGCACTGTATATTCGTATGGTATTTATCGTTGTATTCTAGTTTTCTTGGTCTCATTTTATAGAATGGAAGGCATATCATAGAAATTGAGATGATTTTGACTGGTTTTACAATGAAAAGTATCTTGAAATTGAGCTCGAAGTAGCAGAAATGTTTGATTTTTACCAAAGTTCAAAAGTAAACAAATCATGCCAAGCGTCCAATACACGTCAACTGGTGAGTCTAATATTCTTTTGCAAGTGCGTCAATATGATTCATACCATTTTTTACACTAATGCAGTAGTCTGCATAACAGTAAATCTTCTATTTTTTGAGAATAAAAATTCAAAGTGGAAAGCAAAAGAATGTAAGAGGGGCCTTGAGACGTGACTAATGAACAGAGGAAATGTCATTTTAGTGCCAGGAATGTATTTCTTGTTTGTTCTGAACCCTATTCGGAAATTGGCATCTTTTGAAATTTGTGTGAAATTGGCAAAATTGCTAAATTCTGACCACTGAACTGGATAGTTGAAATTGGTAAATGGGTGGTTTCTTGCACTCATTCAATAGAAAATATGGAGTTCTAGCGAAATATTCATGTTTTTTATCGACTAGTACAGTGGAACTGGCTGAAAATGGGGCTCAAAGTGGGCAAAATCGCCGATCCGTAAACATCGCCGAGACCGCTAACTTCGCGAGAGCATAATTCCGTAAGTTTTCCATCAAATTTCATATTTTTGGTGTCATTATGATCGGGAAAAGATTCTCTATCTTTTCATAAGAAAAAATTATTTTTTTTTTTTTTAAATTTGGCCGACCCTGAGAACGAGTCTCGGAGAGGGCCTGTCAACCCTCAAAGGGTTAAAGGTAAGTGTCATGTATTCTCTTGTTAGTAGAGTACTACAAACTGTGCATGTCTTCTTCAGTTTGTGTGCATTAAACTTAATATTTCATGTGGTAAAAGTTTTTTTTTTCATACTTTTGGGTGTCTTGCACAGATTAATTTGATTTCCATTATTTCTTATGGGGAAAATTGATTCGCTTTCCAATAATTTTGGTTTATGATGAGTTCTCAGGAACGGATTAATATCGCAAACCGGGGGTCCACTGTATATATGTTCTTTCAACACACTGGCCGTATCCCACCGAGGCGGGGTGGCCCAAAAGGAAAAACAAAAATTTCTCCTTTTACATTTAGTAATATATACAGAAGGGGTCACTAGCCCCTAGCTCCCGGCATTTTAGTCGCCTCTTACAACACGCATGGCTTACGGAGGAAGAATTCTGTTCCACTTCCCCATGGAGATAAGAGGAAATAAACAAGAACAAGAACTAGAAAGAAAATAGAAGAAAACCCAGAGGGGTGTGTATACATATGCTTGTACATGCATGTGTAGTGTGACCTAAGTGTAAGTAAAAGTAGCAAGACGTACCTGAAATCTTGCATGTTTATGAGACAAAAAAGAGACACCAGCAATTCTTTTCTTCTTTTCTTTCAACAAATCGGCCGTTTCCCACCAAGGCAGGGTGGCTCAAAAAGAAAAAAGTTTCTCTTATTAACTTCAGTAATGAATACAAGTGAAGAGGGTACTAGCCCCTTGCACCACCAGCAATCCTACCATCATGTAAAACAATTACAGGTTTCCATTTTACACTTACTTGGCAAGACGGTAGTACCTCCCTGGGTGGTTGCTGTCTACCGGCCTACTATCTACTCACATATATGTATAGTATGCAAAGTTATGGAGAAGATTATCTGGAGAAGAGTGGTGAAACACCTAGAAGAGTAGTGGAGCACCTAGAAAGGAATGAGCTTTATACACGATAACTAGCACGGTTTCAGGGAAAGGAAATCCTGCATCACAAACCTACTGGAGTTCTATGACAAGGTGACAGCAGTAAAACAGGGGAGAGAGGGATGGATAGATTGCATCTTCTTCGATTGTAAGAAGGCTTTCAACACAGTACCATTCAAGAGACTGGTTGAAAGGCTAGAGGAGCAGGCAGGAATAACAGGGAAGGTACTGCAGTGGATCAGGGAATATCCGACAAGAAGGAAACAATGCATATTGGTCCATGACAAGGTGTCAGAGTGGGTGCATGTGTCGAGTGGGGTTCCACAAGGGTCTGTCCTAGGTCCAGTGCTGTTTCTGGTATATGTGAATGACATGGCAGAAGGATAGATTCAGAGATGTCCCTGTTCGCAGACGATGTGAAGCTAATGAAGACAAAACAAACAGACAAGGATCAGATGGACTACAAAGGGATCTAGACAGGCTGCAAGCCTGGTCTGATAAATGGCTCCTACAGTTTAACCCCACCAAGTGCAAAGTCATGAAGTCTGGGGAAAGGCAAAGACCGCAGATGGAGTACAACCTAGGTCAGAAGCTGCAAAACTCACTCAAGAGAAAGGATCTTGGGGTGAGCATCATACCGGGCACATTTCCTGAGGCGCACACCAACCAAATAACTGCTGCAGCATATGAGTGCCTGGCAAAACTGAGAATAGCATTTCCACATTTAAGTAAGGAGTCATTCATGACACTGTACACCGTGTATGTCAGACACTGTACACTGTGTATGTCGGCCTATATTAGAGTATGCAGCACCAGTATGAAGCCTACATCTAGTCAAGCATGTCAAGAAATTAGAGAAAGTGCAAAGGTTTGCAACAAGACCAGTCCCAGAGCTAAGGGGTATGTCCTACGACGAGAGGTTAAAGAAACTCAACCTGACAACACTGGACAACAGAGGAGACATGATAATGACATATAAAATACTGAGAGGAATTGACAAGCTGGATAAGGACAGAATGTTTCAGACATGTGACACAGCAACAAGGAGACACAGCAACAAGATGAAGACTCAGATGAGTCACAGAGATGTTAGGAAGTATTTCTTCAGCCATAGAGTGTTCAGGAAGTGGAACAATCTGGAAAGTGATGTAGTGGAGGCAGGATCCATACATAGCTTTAAGAAGAGGTATGATAAAATTCATGGAGCAGGGAGAGAGAGGCCTAGTAGCCACTAGTGAAGAGGCAGGGCCAGGAGCTGTGATTCGACCCCTGAAACCACAAATAGGTGAGTACACACACACTATATATACACACCTGTCTTATTGCTGTCATCATCTGCTGTTACTGTCTGCTTCTGCTGTTGCTGCAATAGAAGGAACATTTGTTATTGAACAAAAAAATGTTACTTGCTGCTAGGTGAACACTGACAGCAGGTGTAACTAAGACCCAGGTACCTACTTACTGCTAGGTGAATACTGACAGCAGGTGTAACTAACACCCAGATACCTACTTACTGCTAGGTGAACACTGACAGTAGGTGTAACTAACACCCAGGTACCTACTTACTGTTAGGTGAACACTAACAGCAGGTGTAACTAACACCCAGGTACCTACAGCCTCTCCTCACTTAATGACGTACTCATTTACCGACGACTCAGATTTACGATGGGCTCTCTGACCAGTATTCATACCTAAATAATGTATGTTAGAGCTGATTTCCTCTATTCTGTTTATTACAATATACAGTACACTACTGTATAAATATAAACGGTGCAAAGGTGACATTAAAACAATATCAAAGATGGCTGACACAAACCCACTACCATTATAGTATGCTCCTCACTTACCGACGAATTCATTTATCAACAAGGTCTTAGGAACGGAACTCCATCGTTAAGTGATGAGAGGTTGTACTTACTGCTAGATAACACTGACAGCAGGTGTAAGGTAACTAACACCCCAGTACCTACTGACTGCTAGGTAAACTTTACAGGAGAACTGACTGTATATAGTGGAACTTTATAAGAGAACTGACTATATAGTGGAACTTTATAACTGAGCCAGGTCACTACCAGCCAGGTCACTACGAGCCAGGATAACAACAGAACGACAGCAGTGACGGCGACAAACGAGGGGTGGTCAAGCATGTCGTGCTGTCCTCCTGAAGAAGGTGCCGACCCAGGCACCAAGGAAGAGGACGCAACAGATGACTGCAACACAGATGTCAAAATCAAGGAGGATGTCGCCGCTGGTGAGCAGGTAGTGCTGATAGCGCAGGTAGACCCCACGCAGGTAGTCTGACAGCAAGTGCATGGTGTATGTCTGGCTGTCAGGTCCTCTCTCTGGCTATCAGTTTGTCTGGCTGATGGCTTTTCTGTCTGGCTGTCAGTTTGTCTGTCTGACAGTCTGTCTGGCTGACAGTCTGTCTGCCTGGCTGTCAGTTTGGCTGTCAGTTAATCTGTCTGGCTGTCAGTCTGCCTGGCTATCAGTTCATCTGTCTGGCTGTCAGTCTGCCTGGCAATCAGTTTGTCTGTCTGACTGACTGTCTGTAAATCTGTCTGGCTGTCAGTTTGCCTGACTATCAGTTCATCTGGCTGTCAGTTCGTCTGTTTGGCTGACAATTCGTCTATTTGGCTGACAGTTTGTCTGTCTGGCTGTCAGTTTTTCAGTTTGTCAGTGACAGTGAGTTCTGAAGCTATCAACACAGAGAGCTCTAAACACACAGGGACCTCTCCCGCACACAGACTGAAAGCTCTATCAGTGCCAACGCCAAACACCAAAATGGGAAATGCCGGTTGCCACACGCAGATTAAAACACACCATACAGCAGCAGTGTCACCGCTAGTCAAACTCACGCAGCCATAGCTTGAACCCCAACAGCCACATCCCTACAACAATTCCACCATAAAAAAAAAACGTGAATTCGCATTTTAAGACACTGCAAAATGCACAAACATTAAAAACAAACATGCGTTTGCTGGCAATTACCCACAGGAAGTAAGAGATAAGACAACCAAATACGGCAATTCAAAACGACAATATACACACACACAATCCACATGGTGTTATACACACATACGTATTACATATGTTGTATATTCACGGAGAGCTCTAGACTCATAGGGGTAATATAATGCCGAGGGAATGCTGGATATTTCTATGTTAAAATATATTAGAGAATTTTGTATGGTAAAACACCTGTAACACTGGTGTTTGTTAGTCAAAACACCTGCAAGACTGGTGTTTGTTACTGAAAACACCTGTAATACTGGTGTTTGTAAGTTAAAATGCCTGCAACATTGTTGTAAGGTAAAACACCTGCAACACAAATAAAATACTTACTTGTGTTTGTTACTTAAAACACCAATAACACTGGTGTTTAGTAATTAAAACACCTACAGCACTAAAGTTTAGTAATTAAAACACCTGCAACATTAGTGTTTGGTAATTAAAACACCTGCAACACTGGTGTTTGGTAGTTAAAACACCTGAAACACTGGTGTTTGGTAGATAAAACACCTGCAACACTAGTGTTTGGTAGTTGTAACACCTGCAACACTGGTGTTTGGCAGTTAAAACACTTATAACACTGGTGTTTGGTAGTTAATAACACCTACAACACTGGTGTTTGGTAGTTAAAACACCTGAAACACTTGTATTTGGTAGTTAAAACACCTACAACACTTGTTTGGTAGTTAAAACACATGCAACACTGGTGTTTGGTAGTTAAAACACCTGCAACACTGGTGTTTGGTAGTTAAAACACCTGCAACACTGGTGTTTGGTAGTTAAAACACCTGCAACACTAGTGTTTGGTAGTTGTAACACCTGAAACACTTGTGTTTGGTAATTATAACACTTGCAACACTGGTATTTGGTAGTTAAAACACCTATAACACTGGTGTTTGGTAGTTAATAACACCTACAACACTGCTGTTTGGTAGTCAAAACACATGCAACACATGTCTTGTAGTTAAAACACATGCAGCACTGGTGTTTGTTACTTAAAACACCAGCAACACTGGGGTTTGTAGTGTTTATACATCAGAACACCCGCAACACCAGTGCTTGTACATTAAAACACCAGCAACATCAGTGTTTTTACATTAAAACACCAGCAACACCAGTGTTTGTACCTTAAAACACCAAAAATACAGCAGCAACACTCACTGTGGTGGTCGTGAAAAAGTCTTGGTCATGGTCGTCATCATCGGACAGCAGCAGCCGAGGTTTCCGATTGACAGCTGGAAGGACGGATGCTATTGGACGGGTCGCTTCCTCCTCCTCTGACCAATCAGAATCACTCTCCTCATCCTGTAACAGATTCTAAATCAAATTCAAATTTATCTAATACAGTAGTCCTGGTGCTGGGGAAAGAGATATAGACAAAGATATGCAAATTCCAGAGTTACAACAAGCAACACCACTGGAGATGGTAAACAAGGTGATGATGCTCCGAGGAATAGTGCAGATACACTACAAGTAAACAATGGTGGAGGCACCGTTGCTAGTACAGGTGCTGTAGATAGTGCGGAGTCTGAAAAAATGCTCCAGTAGAGAACGCAGTCACAAGAAAATCACAGCAAACAAATCCATGCAAATTCTATGCCTTGGATATCTGCAGGCGTGGAATATCTGGGAAAACAGGTGGGATGTGCAATTTTAAACATCCCCAAAAAATGCTGCACCCACATGACAACAGAAGAATGCAACTCTTCTTCTTGTAATTTATTTCACCCAGAAATGTGTCACTCTTCAGTCCAGGAAAGTCAATGCTACAACCTATATTATCAGGCACACCATCTAAAAGGAACACGAAGGTACAGATCACCCAGACTATGGAAAACAAACCAGGGAAGCCACAACTACTCCAGAAATGGAGGTTTTTTAGTGCCAGGAGAGTAAAAAAGCTGGCAAGAAATGACAGAAATCCTACACCAATTCAAATCACTTCCGGAGCAGAGTCATAATCAATAGCCTCCACTCTATAACAACAGATATTAGTGCCAGCAAACAAAGTCCCTCTACATACCATCAATATGACCACATTTATCTTTGGAGATATACAGGGTCTAAAACCAGCAACAAACAACAAAATATCTTTCATTAGTGGATTGCTCACGGAGACAAATGCAAATTTGTGGCTTTCTCAGAGACCCACAGAAAGGATCACTTTAACAATGAAATATGGATACCATATTATAACCTATACAGATGTGACAGAGTAAACAGGCAACAATGGGGGGTGTTTGGCCTGTATGTCACAGAGTCACTCGCATGCTTGGAACTACTAAGCACCTCAAATGATGTAGCTGAAGTTTTGGCAGTAAAGATCGAAAACCAAAACTTTGTCATTGTGGCTGTATACAAGCCTCTGGATGCTGCTTCCCAATGATTCCAGGAACAGCTTTTGAAAATTGACCACTGTCTGGAAAATCTCCCAATCCTGCCCGAAACATCTTGCTGCTGGGTGAGTTCAACTTAAGACACCTAAAATGGAGGAATATAGCAAATAATGTTAGCAGAGATAACCCCAGGAGGCAGTTCAGATGAAAATTCATGCACACACGAACTATTAAATCTCTGCAATACATTCACCTTAAACCAGCAAATAGTGGAGCCAACAAAGTAGTATTCTGAGTCCCTTATTGTTCCTCTGTTATGTGACTGACCTGCCCATCAGTGTCAAGTGTAAGCTTCTAATGAATGCTGATGACAGTGCTCTGTTAGTGTCAGGTTAAGACCCATGAGATACAGCTAATGTATTATCACTAGAACTACAGTCCTGCAGCAAATCCTTAGTAGACAACAAATTTTTGTTACACCTCGGGAAAACAGAAGCCATACTCTTTGGCACGAAACAAACTGAAAAGGTTAAATAATTTTAATGTCCGTTGTAATGGGGAACCCATCACTTCAGCATCCTCAGTGAAATATCTGGGAATTTCCTTTGACCCATGCATGTCAGGAGAATTGATAGGGAATGCCAGACTAAAGTTTCTCTACAGACAAGCACAGTGTCCACCTACTGAGGGTCACAGGACCCTATGTCTAGCTCTTATACAATATCACACAGACAACTCTTGCTCTTCACAGTACTCTGCCTTGACAAAAAAAAAAAAAAAACTGAAAAATAAACTACAAATCAGTCAGAACAAAATGGTAAGATTCATCCTGGACCTTGGACCAAGAGAACATGTAGGCCAGGTTGAATTACAACAACTGGATATGCTGGATGTTGAAGACAGAGTAAAGCAACTGAAGTTAAATCACATTTATAAAGTTGCTCACAAACAGTGTCCAGAATATCTTGCCGCCAAGTTTGTCAAGGCTGGAACTAAGGCAATCATAGTACTAGGGGGAGGGAGCACAACTTTGTAGTACTCACAGTAGGTGGTCAGGCTTCAAACACATTGTATTGTACAACAATAAAGGAATGGAACAGACTACCTGCACATGTCAAAGACTGTCACAGCACGATCCAGTTCAAGAGGAGAACCAAAAGGTACCTAATGAATGTAGCAAAAGAAAGGGAGGAGTGACTTTTTTATATAGCTAACACACATGTAAATGTAAATAACTCAGTTTACTTTTTTTTTTTTTTTTTTTTTTTCTTCAACAAGTCGGCCGTCTCCCACCGAGGCAGGGTGACCCAAAAAAGAAAGAAAATCCCCAAAAAGAAAATACTTTCATCATCATTCAACACTTTCACCACACTCACACATTATCACTGCTTTTGCAGAGGTGCTCAGAATACAACAGTTTAGAAGCATATACATATAAAGATACACAACATATCCCTACAAACTGCCAAGTATATTATCTCTTTTATAGTATAATAATAAGGTATTACAAGGACCCCAATAGAAATAAGTCACTCTGACTTTTTTGGGTCATCCTAGGTAATCTACACATATGCTGCTATGTATGATAATGTAACCATATTTATGTGTAGCTGTACCTGAATAAACTTACAAGACTGGAAAATATACTAGACTTCATCTTCACCAACAATGATGATCTGATAAGAAATATAACAATATCAAAGACAAGACACTCACATCACATAACAGAGGTACAGACATGTATATACAGGGTTCCTGACCAACAAAATGTGATCAGTTATGAAGGGACATTCACCAAATTCAACTTCAATAACAAAAACATACAGTAGGATCAAGATATCTTAAACAACACAGATCTAAATCTCTGCCTAGAAAGAGTTAACTCTGTGGCACTTGAGATCTGCTCAAAGCACATTCCTTTAAGAAAAAGAAAGAGAAGACATAAACTAGAGAGAGATGCTCCCTATACAGGCAAAGATTCATAGAGCTGCCAGTATATCTGAAATATGAAGGGAGGCACTGGTCAGAGAAATAGGAAATATTGAACTTGAGCCTAAGGAATCATACAGGCTACAAGACACTCAGGAAGAACTTAAAGCCATCAATGAAACTGAAAGAAGCCCAAAAATATTTCTTCTCTTATGCCAAATCTAAGGACAAAACAACATCCAGTACTGGACCGCTGCTTAGACAAGACAGGACTTACACAGATACAGCAAAGAAATGAATGAGATACATACTAAAATCCCAATATGACTGAGTGTTTAGTGAACTATTAACTAAACTAAAAGTAAAAAAATCTAAATGAATTTTTTATGACCGAGACTCAAAATTTGGTCAATCCAAAAATCTCGGAAATTATCCTAACACCACAAGACTTCAAAAAAGCAATAAATGGTATGCCCATGCATTCTGCCCCAGGCCCTGACTCGTGGAACTCTGTGTTCATCAAGAACTGCAAGAAGCCCCTATTGCGTGCCTTCAGCATTCTATGGAGAGGGAGCATGGACACAGCAGTCATCCCACACTCACTAAAAACAACAGACATAACCCCACTCTACAAAAGTGGCAGTAAAGCAACTGCAAATAACTACAGGCTGATAGCACTAACATCCCATATCATTAAAAGCCTTGAAAGAGTTCTATGAAGTAGGAGCACCACCCATCTATATACCCATCAGTTACACAACCCAGGGCAACATGGATTTGGAGCAGGTCACTCCTGCCTGTCCCAACTACTGAATCACTATGACAAGGTCTTACATGCACTGGAGGAAAAACAAAATGCAGACGTAGCATACACAGACTTTGCAAAAGCCTTCGACAAGTGCAACCATGGTGTAATAATGCACAAAATGTGTTATAAAGGAATAACAGGAAAAGTTGGTAGATGAATATATCATTTCCCCAATAGAACACAAAGAATAACAGTAAACAGAGTAAAGTCTGAGGCAGCTACTGTGAAAAGATCTGTTCCACCAGGCAGAGTACTCACTCCCATCCTGTTCCTCATCCTCATATCTGACACAGACAGATGTGTAAACCACAGAACTGTGTCTTCCTTTGCAGATGACACCCGAATTTATGTGACAGTTTCCTCCACTGAAGACACCACAAGACTCAAGGTGGACATCAACCAAATTTTTAAATGGGCTGCAGAAAACAACATGAAGTGCAATGAAGAGAAATTTCAATTACTCAAGATATGGAAAACTGGAAGAAATCAAAACTGCATTGGAGTATAAAACAAATTCCAATGATAATGTCAGAGGATCTCACTTTCAAAGACCACAACAATGTATCTAGCACCAAAGAAAATGATAGGATGGATAATGAGAACCTTCAAAACTAGGGGTGCCAAGCCCATGATGATTCTCTTTAAATCACTTGCTCTCTCTAGGCTGGAATATTGCTGTACACAAATGGCCCATTTCAAGGCAGGCAAAACTGCAGATCTGGAGAATATACAGAGGACTTTCATGGCATGTATAAGTATGATAAAGCACCTAAATTACTGGGAATGGTTGAAGTCCCTTGATTTGTATTCCTTGGAATGCAGGTAAGAAAGATACATGATAAGATACACTTGGAAAATCCTAGAGGGATTAAAACCAAATTTGCACATGAAAATCATTCCCTACGAAAGCAAAAGACTCGCCAGGAGATGCAACATCCCCCAGCGAAAAGCAGGAGCACCACAAATACCCTAAGAGACAACATAATAAGTGCCAGGGGCCCAAGACTGCCTCCATGCATACATAAGGGGTATTACCAACAGACCCCTGGTTGTCTTCAAGAAGGTGCTGGACAGGCACCTAAAGTCAGTACCTGACCAGCCAGGCTGTGGTTCGTATGTTGGATTACGTGTGTCCAACAGTAATAGCCTGGTTAATCAGGTTCTAATCTACCACAAGGCCTTGATGTTCTGGGGCACTGACCCCCGGAACATCCTCCATGTATACTCCAGGTACTAGACAGACATTAAACCCTCCTGTAGCACACAGACATTAAATTCCATTAACCAACTAGCCAGTCTTAATGGCTCTGGTGTAGGAGATAGATTTTAAACCCTATTAACCAACCAGTCTTAATTACCATCGGGTAGTAGATATTTTAATCCCCATTAACCAACCAGACTTAATGATCCTTGTATGGTAGATAGACATTGAACCCTCATACAGTAGACAAATATCAAACCCTCATGCAGTAGATAGACATTAAACCCTCATGCAGTAGGTAGACATTAAACCCCATTAACCAACCAACCAGTTTTAATGACCCTCATGTAGTAGATAGACTTTAAACTCTCATGCAGTAGACAGACATCAAACCTACCATCATTTTTGAGCTCCAAGCAGGAATGGGCTTACTCTTCAGACTACCTTCGTCGTCGCCCTCGACCTCGTCCTCGCTGGCTGTCTCATCCGGACTCAACGTGTTCTTGGAGTTTTCCTCACTGGATGAGACATCGTGCAGGCCAACCTTGTCATCAGCCATAAAGGCCGAGGAACCGATGATAAAGGGCAGCGCCTTACTCTCATAGGGGTCCATCACAGTGTACACAGCAACTGTACTGTAAAAATACCAGTATTATACCAGTATTATACCAGTGAGGAACAAAAAGGCACAATACCACGACTGCCCATAGGAGAGAGGACCTGCCCATAGGAGAGAGGACCTACCCATAGGAGAGAGAGGACCTGCCCATAGGAGAGAGAGGACCTGCCCATAGGAGAGAGAGGACCTGCCCATAGGAGAGAGGACCTGCCTATAGGAGAGAGGACCTGCCTATAGGAGAAAGGACCTGCCCATAGGAGAGAAGACCTGCCCATAGGAAATAGGACCTGCCCATAGGAGAGAGGACCTGCCCATAGGAGAGAGGACCTGCCCATAGGAGAGAGGACCTGCACATAGGAGAGAGGACCTGCACATAGGAGAGAGGACCCACACATAGGAGACAGGAACTTATTATTTTTTTTTATTATCACACTGGCCGATTCCCACAAAGGCAGGGTGGCCTGAAAAAGAAAAACTTTTAGCATCATTCACTCCATCGCCGTCTTGCCAGAAGGGTGCTTTACACTACAGTTTTTAAACTGCAACATTAACACCCCTCCTTCAGAGTCCAGGCACTGTACTTCCCATCTCCAGGACTCAAGTCCGGCCTGCAGGTTTCCCTGAACCCCTTCACAAATGTTACTTTGCTCACACTCCAACAGCACGTCAAGTATTAAAAACTATTTGTCTCCATTCACTCCTATCAAACACGCTCACGCATGCCTGCTGGAAGTCCAAGCCCCTCGCACACAAAACCTCCTTTACCCCCTCCCTCCAACCTTTCCTAGGCCGACCCCTACCCCGCCTTCCTTCGACTACAGACTGATACACTCTTGAAGTCACTCTGTTTTGCTCCATTCTCTCTACATGTCCAAACCACCTCAACAACCCTTCCTTGGCCCTCTGGACAACAGTTTTGGTAATCCCGCACCTCCTCCTAACTTCCAAACTACGAATTCTCTGCATTATATTCACACCACACATTGCCCTCAGACATGACATCTCCACTGCCTCCAGCCTTCTCCTCGCTGCAACATTCATCACCCATGCTTCACACCCATATAAGAGCGTTGGTAAAACTATACTCTCATACATTCCCCTTTTTGCCTCCAAGGACAAAGTTCTTTGTCTCCACAGACTCCTAAGTGCACCACTCACCCTTTTCCCCTCATCAATTCTATGATTCACTTCATCTTTCATAGACCCATCCGCTGACACGTCCACTCCCAAATATCTGAATACATTCACCTCCTCCATACTCTCTCCCTCCAATCTGATATCCAATCTTTCATCACCTAATCTTTTTATCCTCATAACCTTACTCTTTCCTGTATTCACTTTTAATTTTCTTCTTTTGCACACCCTACCAAATTCATCCACCAATCTCTGCAACTTTTCTTCAGAATCTCCCAAGAGCACAGTGTCATCAGCAAAGAGCAACTGTGACAACTCCCACTTTATGTGTTCTTCTTTATCTTTTAACTCCACGCCTCTTGCGACTTGGTCCGACTTGGACCATTTACACAGTCAGTACATATAGGCCAGCTGACAGGGAAGGGACAAGATAGATAGTAGGAGGAGTAATGGTAGGGGTAAGGCAGGTAGTGGAAGTAGTAGTAGAAGTAGTGGTAGTGTAAAGTAGGGAGAGTGGTTGGTGGGACAAAAATAAGAAGGGGGAGAGAAAAAGGAGGCAAAAGTGAATATAGGAGCCAAAGGTAGTAGGAAAGTAGTAGTGGAGTCAGTCAAAGGCCAAGAAAGAGGAGCACTGCAGGAGAGCTAAGAGCCCACAAGGGGTACCAACAAAAACACAGGGGGTGAAAAAATAAAATACACCCAAGGCAGAAGAAAGGAAACCCAAAACAAGAAAAAGGAAAAATAGGAAAGGAGAAGAGGTAGAGAGAGCAGAAGAGACAAAAGAATCAGGTTAAGTCATGTGTGTTCTGAAGTTTGGAGCATCTGACAATGTCATGGGGAAGGAAGGTGTCTACAGAGACAAAGCCACGACTAAGATTCATATAAAGCTGTGTATAAGTTAGGATTCAACGAGACAGTGACTGTGAAAGTTAGAAGTAGGTTGGACAATTTTAGCAGATGACTAGTCAATAGGATGACTGTGATCTCTGACATGACAGTAAAGAGCATTGTTGGTATCAGCAAGCCTAACACTACTTTTGTACTCCTTGAGTCTGTCAGAAAGAGAATAGCCAGTTTCTCCAAAGTACTGAAGAGGACAAGAGGAACAAGAAATAGAGCAGACACCAGGAGCATCTATAGCGGGAGGAGAGGTATGAACTAGATTACTGCGAAGGATGTTTGGGGAAGAGTAAGTTTGATGTGTAAGGAACGGAGAGAGTTATCAAGATTAGAAAGACTGGAAATATAGGGAAGGTAGAGAACAAGAGATTTCACAGGAGTAGAAAGTTTGGGAGACAAGAAAGTCTATTTAGCAGGTGAGAAGGCAGAGTTTATGAAATGGGGAAGGTAGCCAAGACATCATCGGAAATGGGGAAGGTAGCCAAGACATCATCATAAATGGGGAAGGTAATCAAGACATCATCGTAAGTAGGGAAGGTAGCCAAGACATTATCATAAATGGTCAAGGTAGCCAAGACACCATTGTAAATTTTTTTATTATTATTATTAACACACTGGCCGATTCCCACCAAGGCAGGGTGGCCCAAAAAAGAAAAATTTTCACCATCATTCACTCCATCACTGTCTTGCCAGAAGGGTGCTTTACACTACAGTTTTGAAACTGCAACATTAACACCCCTCCTTCAGAGTGGTGTTAATGTTGCAGAGATTATTTGTGTAAACAAACAACACTTCAATTTTTTACATGACTGCTTACACTGAGTAAATAGTGACAGAATAATGATAAAAGTCAATGTTGATACATGATATTTAGAGAGGATGGAGCAAAATAGGATGACTTGGAGGGTGTATAAGTCTGTAGTGGAGGGAAGGAGGGGGTAGGGGTCATCCTAGGAGAGGTTGGAGGGAGTGTGAATGGCTTAGACTTCCAGCAGGTAGAGTGAGAGAGTGAGAGAGTGTGAGAGAGAGAGAGAGTGAGTGAGTGTGCGTGCGTGCGTGCGTGCGTGCTAGATAGGAGTGAGTGGAGGCAAGTAATTTTTAAGACTTAGTGTGCTGCTGGAATGTGAGTGAGGTGACTTTTGTGAAGGGGTTAGTTGAACTTGAGTTCTGGAGGTGGGAAATAGAGTGGCTGTATTCTGAAGGAGGGGTGGAATTATTTGCTATTGAGAGACATATCTATACCTCTGGCACGACAGTGACGGAGTGAATGATGGTGAAATTGTTTCTTTTTCAGGTCACCCTGCCTTAGTGATAACACCACAAACACTGTTACTAATACAGTAAGTCCTCCACTGACAAAAACATTAAAGACCTCCTGAATTGTGCATAATATTCATAATACAGAATTTACAAACATGTTGTGGACTTTCTATATTGTGTATAATAATGATATAATGATAATATTATAGACAATAATGATATAATACACAATACAGAAGAGTCTCATCATGTTTGTAAGTCGAGGACTTTTACTGTACAACAAACTCATCACCAATACCATGAGTACAAGGGTTTTAATAGGCAGTTTAGTAAACCATGACTGATGGATGGAATGCAACTCCAGGCTGAGGGACTAATTATCTCAAATTCCTCCTCATCTTCCACCATTTCTCTGCATTAGGACTGAAGAAGCCACTGGCTAGCTAAACAGGTGTTGTCTGAGTGTCTTATTCACCCCTTAAGGTCAGCTAATAAAAACAAGACAATAAAACAAACAATAAAAACAAGCCAATAAAAACAGCCAGTAAAAACGAGCAAATAGATTAACGCGTGTCAAACCTGGCGGGACTGTCATCCTCGTCGTCAGAATCCGAGTCTTGTATTTCATGCAGCTCGTAGCACCGTCCGACCAGCTCCAATCCATCCGTAATTGCTTGTCTACATCTCTCTATCACGTCGTCCTCACTTCCTGCACTCTGAAAGACAATTCTGGTTGAGTACATTTCATTTCTCACAAGACGATGACTTCACAGCAAACACAATACAGTGGACCGCTTAACGATCACCTCCCAATGCGACCAATTATGTAAGTGTATTTATGTAAGTGCGTTTGTGCGTGTATGTTTGGGGGTCTGAAATGGACTAATCTACTTCACATATTCCTTATGGGAACAAATTCGGTCAGTACTGGCACCTGAACATACTTCTGGAATGAAAAAATATCGTTAACCGGGGGTCCACTGTACTTGTTTATACGTGAATGACACAGTTTTAAGAGGTGTGTTGATGACACTGGCTTGCAGGTTTTAAGAGGTGTGTTGATGACACTGGCTTGCAGGTTTTAAGAGGTGTGTTGATGACACTGGCTTGCAGGTTTTAAGAGGTGTGTTGATGACACTGGCTTGCAGGTTTTAAGAGGTGTGTTGATGACACTGGCTTGCAGGTTTTAAGAGGTGTGTTGATGACACTGGCTTGCAGGTTTGACAACACACTTACCATGGGTTTGAACCTCATCCACCAAACCTAAATTCATTTTCAAAACTTTGTTTCTTGGCTTAGTAAACATGTAGTTTACACGTATTAAACTATTGTTAAACAGAAAGAATGCCTCTACCATGGCCGAGAATGTCAGACACACTAGGCCTAATACTCACAGCCTACTTAAAGCTAGACATAGGTTATGAAGCGGTCAATTTTAATTATTATTATTATAAAAAAACAGAGGTAGCAAAAATACATTATTAAGCTAAATTAAGACCACCATCACTACTTTTGTGTTCTGCGGTCATTATTATGCTAAATTAAGACCACCATCACTACTTTTGTGTTCTAAGGTCATTATTATGCTAAATTAAGACCACCATCACTACTTTTGTGTTCTAAGGTCATTATTATGCTAAATTAAGACCACCATCACTACTTTTGTGTTTTGCAGTCATTATTACGCTAAATTAACCCCTTGACTGTCGCAACCCCCAATCCTGAGGTGTCTCCTGGTGTCGCAAAATTTAAAAAAAAAAAATTATTTTTTCTTATGAAATGATAGAGAATTTTTTCCCAATTGTAATGACACCAAAAGAATGAAATTTGATGGAAAACTGACAGAATTACGGTCTCACGGAGTTAGCGACCTCGGCTATATTTACGAATCGGCGATTTCGCCCACTTCAAGCCCTATTTTCAGCTAATTTCATTGTTCCAGTTGACCAAACTCATAGCTATTTCTTTAGAACTCTATTTTTTCTATCGATCGAGTACAAGAAACTGCCCATTTACTGATTTCAACTACCCTACAACGTTGTCAGAAATTTGCAATTTGGGCAATTTCACGAAAATCAAAAAATATGAGTTTCAAAATAGTGTCCAGAATGAACAATGCAGACATTCCTGGCTCTAAAATAACATTTTCTTTGTTCATCAGTCACGTCTCCAGGCCCCTCTGATATTACTCTTGCTATTTACTGTTATGCAGACTACTGCAATATTGTAATACACGTATTTGTATAAATAATGTCAACCCATTCATGACTGCATATTAGAATAGCTACTTGAACATTTATTGGACAATGACATCATTTGTTTACTTTTGAACATCGGCAAAAATCAAACATTTTCCCTACTTTGAGCTCCATTTCAAGGTTCTTTTCATAGTAAAAACCAATCAAAATCACCTCTGTTTCTATAATATGTTTTCCATTCTATCAAATGAGACCAAGAAAACAAGAATACAACCATAAATACTATGTGAAAATACACCACAAAGTCGGCATTTTAATAAAAAAAAAAACGGTCAGAGTTTTTTTTTTTCTCATTATGCACTGCATGCTGCAGAATTTTTTTTATATGGTGCACACTGACCACACAGACCCATTCTCTCACATGTGGGCCTACCAGCTTTCTCCTGCTTGATTTGAAGCCGCTAGAATTTCTTCTTCTTTCAACACACCGGCCGTATCCCACCGAGGCGGGGTGGCCCAAAAGGAAAAAACGAAAGTTTCTCCCTTTACATTTAGCAATATATACAGGAGAAGGGGTTACTAGCACCTTGCTCCCGGCATTTTAGTCGCCTCTTACAACACGCATGTCTTACAGAGGAAGAATTCTGTTCCACTTCCCCATGGAGGTAAGAGGAAATAAACAAGAATAAGAACTAGAAAGAAAATAGAAGAAAACCCAGATTGGTGTGTATATATATGCTTGTACATGTATGTGTAGTGTGACCTAAGTGTAAGTAGAAGTAGCAAGACGTACCTGAAATCTTGCATGTTTATGAGACAGAAAAAAGGACACCAGCAATCCTACCATCATGTAAAACAATTACAGGCTTTCGTTTTACACTCACTTGGCAGGACAGTAGTACCTCCCTGGGTGGTTGCTGTCTACCAACCTACTACCTAGAATTTATGAGTATATATACGTCAAAAATGGTGGCTCGTAAGACATATATATACGACCAAAACAGTCAAAGGGCTAAGGCTTATTTTCCAGCCAAAGTAAACTATGGATAACTTAAACCACAGATACCAGACTCAAGCAAAATTAAGGGTTATTTTCAGCCCATGGCAAACCACAGGGGTTCTAGTGTATTACGCCTGCACGACCACTGACCTCAGGCACGCTTGGCGTCGTCTCTGCAGCAACGACAACATCTTCATCTTGGTATGTCCTGTTCTCAATGAACTGTGTGTTGGCCAACATGTGGAAGGCATTGTTGGTGTTGGAGATGGTGGTGAAGACTCTATCACTCTCCTCCAACACTCTCTTCAATGCTCCCTCAACCTCATGCGTTCGTGACACTAATCTCTGTAACCAGCAATCATTATTTTCACACACTGGCAGTGTCCCACTGAGGTAGGGTGACTCAAAAAAAGAAAACACTACATTTACCACCATTCATTCTCAATGTCTGCCTTAATAGTAGCATACTATTATTACTATTATTATTATTATTACATATTATTACTAAATCTATAATACTCGTACACTGCTAGGAGATTTAAGTAAAAATTTAACAAATACCCAGAAAACTCTAAACCCTCAGGGGGGTCACATAGGAGCCTATAATGAGAGCCAACCAGGGATTATCCAAGGACAGTGAAGAGCCAGCTCTCCTTCCTTGCACCACGAGCCTCCCACTGACCCCAGGACAGCCCCCTGCCTCTCTTCTGCACCTATCGATATTCTGTTACACGCAAAATATGTTACTCATAAACTGCATAAAGGAAATAAGGTACAGGTTGTCGTCAACTTACCATGGGTTATGTTCCCATTAATCCATCGGAAGTTGAAAATATCATAAGTCGAATCATCGTAGTCAAAATATTGTTTAGTAGAACTATGGTTAAGTCAAAATATTGTAGGGCTGAATCATCATAAAAACAAAATATCATAAGTTGAACAATTGTAAAGTTGAAATATCATAAGTTAAGTCATCATAAAGTCAAAATATCATCAGTTGAACCATCGCAAGTCAATATGTCGTCATTCAAACCATCATATGTTGAAATATTATAAGTCGAACAATCCTAAATTCAAAATATCATAAGTCAAATCATCGAAAAGTTAAAAATATCATAAGTAGAACCATTGTAATGTCCAAATATTTCAAGTTGAACTATTGTGAAGTTAGAATATTGTAAGATGAACCATCATAATGTCAAAATATCATAAGTCGAAATATAATTAGTTGAAAAATCGTTAGTCAAGGATTGCCCATATTTGAATTTGAAATAGAATTTGGTGGTACCTGTGAAATGCTCTGGAGTAGCGTAGCAGTGGCGGCGTCAGCGGCCAGACTCCACGACTCAGCGTACTGACAGAGGTCGCCTGGGGTCACCTTGTTGCTTGACCACCAGTGGTCGCTGCTGCTTGTGGCACCACCGCTGCTGCTTGTGGCACCACCGCTGCTGCTTGTGGCACCACTGCTGCTGCTGTCATCCATTGTACCCTAGAATTGTTGATTGTGTTGAGACAACTTACAAGTGGTGATGTACTAGTAGTGATACTACTAGTAGTACTAGTAGTGGTGGTAGTAGTAGTACTAGTAGTGGTGGTAGTAGTAGTACTACTAATAGTAATAGTAGTAATACTAATAGTAATAGTAGTTCTAGTACTAACAGTACTAGTATTAGTACTAGCAATAGTAGTACTAACAGTACTGGCAGTACTAATAGTAACAGCAGGAGTACTAGTAGTATTAGTACTAACAGTATTACTAATAGTTGAAATAGTAGTAATAGTATTATGTACTTGTAGTTGTAGTAATAATAACAGTAGTAATAGCAGTAGTAGTAGTACTAGAAGTAATAGTAGTAGTAACAGTAGTAGTTCTAGTAGCAGTAGTAGAACAGTTTCAGTAGTAGTACTAGACTAATAGTAGTAGTACCAGTATCAGTACTAGTACAGTGGACCCCCGCATAACGATCACCTCCGAATGCGACCAATTATGTAAGTGTATTTATGTAAGTGCATTTGTACGTGTATGTTTGGGGGTCTGAAATGGACTAATCTACTTCACAATATTCCTTATGGGAACAAATTCGGTCAGTACTGGCACCTGAACATACTTCTGGAGTGAAAAAATATCGTTAACCAGGGGTCCACTGTACCAGTAGTATCAGTAAGATAAGATTTCGTTTGGATTTTTAACCCCGGGGGGTTAGCCACCCAGGATAACCCAAGAAAGTCAGTGCGTCATCGAGGACTGTCTAACTCATTTCCATTGGGGTCCTTATTAATCTTGTCCCCCAGGATGAGACACACACCAGTCGACTAACACCCAGGTACCTATTTGCTGCTAGGTGAACAGGACAACAGGTGTAAGGAAACGTGTCGAAGTCTTTCCACCCGCCGGGAATCAAACCCGGGCCCTCCGTGTGTGAAGCGGGAGCTTTAGCCACCAGGCCACCGGGCCCCTAGTAGTGGCCCAGTAGTTGTAGCAAATAGCAGTACAATAGTAATATTTGTAGTATTTTTTTTATTTTAATCACACTGGCCCCATCCCCCCCAAGGCAGGGTGGCCACCAAGGCAGGGTGGGCCACCAAGGCGGGTGGCCACCAAGGGGTGGCCACCAAGGCAGGGTGGCCACCAAAGGGAGGGGGGCCCACCAAGGCAGGGTGGCCACCAAGGCAGGGTGGCCCACCAAGGCAGGGTGGCCACCAAGGCAGGGTGGCCACCAAGGCAGGGTGGCCACCAAGGCAGGGTGGCCACCAAGGCAGGGTGGCCACCAAGGCAGGGTGGCCACCAAAAAAGAAAAACTTTCACCATCATTCACTCCATCACTGTCTTGCCAGAAGGGTGCTTTACACTACAGTTTTTAAACTGCAACATTAACACCCCTCCTTCAGAGTGCAGGCACTGTACTTCCCATCTCCAGGACTCAAGTCCGGCCTGCCGGTTTCCCTGAACCCCTTCATAAATGTTACTTTGCTCACACTCCAACAGCACGTCAAGTATTAAAAACCATTTGTCTCCATTCACTCCTATCAAATATTTGTAGTACTAGTATTAGTAGTAAAACTTGTAGTACTAGTAGTAATAGTAATACTTGAAGTACTAGTATTAGTAGTAAAACTTGTAGTACTAGTAGTAATAGTAATACTTGTAGTACTAGCAGTACTAGTAATAATACTAGTAGCAGTAATAGTAATAATACTAGTAGCAGTAATAATAATAATACTAGTAGCAGTAATAGTAATAATACTAGTAGCAGTAATAGTAATAATACTAGTAGCAGTAATAGTAATAATACTAGTAGCAGTAATAGTAATAATACTAGTAGCAGTACTAGTAATAATACTAGTAGCAGTACTAGTAATAATACTAGTAGTAGTACTAGTAATAATAGTACTAGTAGTAATAATATTTTTATTTTTTTTTTTTTTTATTTATCACACCGGCCGATTCCCACCAAGGCAGGGTGGCCCGAAAAAGAAAAACTTTCACCATCATTCACTCCATCACTGTCTTGCCAGAAGGGTGCTTTACACTACAGTTTTTAAACTGCAACATTAACACCCCTCCTTCAGAGTGCAGGCACTGTACTTCCCATCTCCAGGACTCAAGTCCGGCCTGCCGGTTTCCCTGAATCCCTTCATAAATGTTACTTTGCTCACACTCCAACAGCACGTCAAGTATTAAAAACCATTTGTCTCCATTCACTCCTATCAAACACGCTCACGCATGCCTGCTGGAAGTCCAAGCCCCTCGCACACAAAACCTCCTTTACCCCCTCCCTCCAACCCTTCCTAGGCCGACCCTACCCCGCCTTCCTTCCCTACAGACTGATACACTCTTAAAAGTCATTCTGTTTCGCTCCATTCTCTCTACATGTCCGAACCACCCCAACAACCCTTCCTCAGCCCTCTGGGCAACAGTTTTGGTAATCCCGCACCTCCTCCTAACTTCCCAAAATACGAATTCTCTGCATTATATTCACAGCACACATTGCCCTCAGACATGACATCTCCACTGCCTCCAGCCTTCTCCTCGCTGCAACATTCATCACCCACGCTTCACACCCATATAAGAGCGTTGGTAAAACTATACTCTCATACATTCCCCTCTTTGCCTCCAAGGACAAAGTTCTTTGTCTCCACAGACTCCTAAGTGCACCACTCACTCTTTTTCCCTCATCAATTCTAAAGATTCACCTCATCTTTCATAGACCCATCCGCTGACACGTCCACTCCCAAATATCTGAATACGTTCACCTCCTCCATACTCTCTCCCTCCAATCTGATATTCAATCTTTCATCACCTAATCTTTTGTTATCCTCATAACCTTACTCTTTCCTGTATTCACCTTTAATTTTCTTCTTTTGCACACCCTACCAAATTCATCCACCAAAACTCTGCAATTTCCCTTTTAAATCCCCAAGACACAGGCCCTCGGCAAAGACCCGCTGGGGACAACTCCCACTTTTGTGTGATTCTTTATCTTTTAACTCCACGCCTTTTTGCCAAGACCCCTCGCATTTACTTCTCTTAAAACCCCATCTTAAATAAAAAAAAACCCAGGGTGCATCACACATCCTTTCTAAGGCCTATTTTAAACGGGGAAAAAATTTCCCTTTTTCCCTTTACTACCCCAAAACTTAAAGCCCCCCACTATCCCGTAAAAACCCCTTCATTTCTTTCAGTAATAAAAAAAAAGAACATAAAACATAAGAACAAAGGAACACTGCAAAAGGGCCTACTGGCCCATGCGGGCAGGTCCAAGCCCCCTCCCGGGTTTAAACCAATGCCCCCAAACCTAGCCCAGGTCAGGTCACATTGACTCAAGGGGGGAACCCAACGGCAACCGCCCCTTTTTACACAACCTTCATCTAACCACATCCCCCCCCACATCACTCATTTTTTTAAACCAACCTTTTTTTAAAAGCAAAAACAACGTTCGGGCCCAATAACGGTATTTGGGGATTTTGTTCCACCAAACCACAACTCAATTACCAAACCATACTTTCCTTTATCCCCCCCTGAAACTAAATTTTTTCCAATTTTAAAACCCAAAGGGCTGCGAGTCCTTCTAGGGCTAATTTTAAATCAGCACATTTAATTTACACCCCTTTTTAAAATTTATTCCTGTCTTCCACTTAAAAACCCAAATCATACCCCCCCTAATTCTAGCCCTTTCTAGAGAGTGCAGTTTCAGGGCCCTTATCTATCCTCATAGGGAATTTCTGAAAACATTGGGGCATCTTTTTCACCTCCTTTGTACATTTTCCAGAGAATTTTTTATCCATTCTGTTAAACGGTGACCAAAAATGTGCAGCATAACTAAATGGGCCTAACCAAGGATTAAGGTTGAAGAACAACCGGGGGACTCCTATTATTTATCTTTTTGATATGAAGCCAAGGATTTTTATTAGTTTTTTTTCGAAACCCTTTTGCACTGTTGTCTTGGGTTTTAATTTCTGCTAAAACCCGAACTCCTAAAAACTTTTTTCGCAATCCGTAATTTAAGGGTCTACATTTTTTATTTTTTAAAAGTGGCATGGTTATTGTCCCCGTCCAACATTTAGAACTTTGCATTTGTCTATATTAAACCGCAAACTGCCACTTTTCCCCCCCACTGCAAACGTCTATTCAAATCTTCCTGGAGTGCTCGAATGTTTCCCCGTCAAATGAATTCGACGGGGTAATTTTTGGGGCAAACGGGAAACTGCCCCATGTCGCCTTTTATGCCCCCATCTTTTTCCGTTTATGTAGATTGTGAAAAGCAGGGGGCCCAACACTGACCCCCGTGGAAAACCGCCCTTGAAAGCTTCCCCCCCTTTTGAAATTTCCCCCCATTTTATGCAAACTCCCCCTGCTGCTAATTTTTTCAACCAAAACCTCCTATCCAGGAAAAAAATTTTTCCTCCTATTCCTTGGGGTTTTAATTTTTCCCCAATAGTCTCGATGTGGGGGCCCCCGGGGCAAAAGGCCCTTTCGAAATCCATAACACAATTTTCATATTTGGTTTCCATGACCCCCCTCCCAAAAACCTTTGTGAAAAAAGTTTTAAAAAATTCGTAAGGCAGGAACGTCCCATTGTAAAACCCGCTTAATTCTTGATTAAATTTTTGCTTTCAAGGGGCTACGAAGCCTCGGCAATTATTGATTCCATAAATTTTTTCCCACTATAGGTTAGGCTTATTGGGCTATAGTTCAAGCTAAGGACCTGTCACCTGTTTTGAAAATAGGATCACATTTGCCATTTTCCACTTATCGGGACCATGCAGTTTTTAGTGATATGTTGAAAAGATTAGCCAAAGGGGTGCTAAGCTCCTCTTTACATTCCTTTAGAACCCTTGCATACAGTTCATCAGGCCTGGGGATTTGTTAGGTTTTAATTTATCTATTTCCAAAGGGACCAGTCACTTGTGACCCTAATAGTGCACAGTTTTATTATCGCCCTGTTCTACATAATTTAACATTACTGGAATAATCACTGGTATCCTCCTGTGTAAAAAACTGAGAGGAAGTATGTGTTAAAAATTCTACACTTTTCCTTATCACTGTCAGTGAGCTGACCCGAGGAACTTTTGAGTGGGCCTATCTTGTCCCTGATCTTACTTCTGTATACCTGAAAGAATCCTTTTGGGTTAGTCTTCGATTCTCTTGCAACTTTAACCTCATAATCTCTTTTTGCTTTTCTAATTCCCTTTTTTATTTCTCTTTTTAAAACTGAATATATCGATTTCTTAATTGCCCCTCTCCTCTTTTGATTTGCCTATATATGCCCTCTTTTTGACCAATCAGATATTTTAATCTATTGTTCATCCATTTAGGATCATTTTTGTTTGATCTGATTTCCCTATTTGGAACAAAATTTTTGACTGAGCAGCTAGAACTAGGGCCCTGGAAAGCATCAATCGGCAACCATCACCACCTACCTGACCCCTAGTCAGTCATTCCAGTTCAGCCCACCTAAGTAATTTTTCAGTCCTATGAAATCAGCCAAGCGAAAGTCAGGGAACGGAGACTTGATTGCCTTTAAATTAGGGGAACCATGATATGTTAAAACTGAGTGATTTGTGATCACTCTCCCCAAGCTCATCATTAACCTCAAATTTATTAATTAGTGTTTCCCTACTGGCAAGAACCAAGTCAAGGAGGTTATTTCCCCCCTAGTTGGCTCTGTCACAAACTGTTTAAAAAACAATCCGGGATCGTATCAAGAAAGTCACCCGACTCTAAATTTCCTGTCAAATTGCTCCATCAATCTGTCTAAGTTGAAATCCCATTAGCACAACAATTTCGTATGTAGAAGCCTTAACGAATTTCGTCCCATGAAGTTTACTGCACTCCCTATAAAGATTTGGGCCCTGTAAATCCACCAAAAATTAGTTTTTCTCGGCCCTCGAGAAGCTGTAACCAAACAGATTCATGGCTGACGCTTCTAATTTAATATCTTGTCTAACACAACAATTTAAATTGTCTCTGACTACATCGCTACTATCCACCACCTTTTCCCGTTGACCCTGTCATGTGGAATAATTTATAGCCTTGTTTTGTGACATTCAGATGGCATCCTTTTCTATCTTTCAGATTGAGCCAGGTCCCCTGTTATAGCAATAATATCTATGTTTCCTGCACTTGCAATTAATCTTAGCCCTCTATCTTATTTCCCAACACTCCTTGCTATTAGTAAAAGAAACCTTAAGGGAGCTAGTCCCTTGCTGCCCTCTGCTGTCCCCCCTTTGTTTTCTGACCTGTTCTATTGTCTTTATTTATAACTTCATGCTGAATGCCTATTATACATTTACGTTTCCAACCCTAGTGTTGCAACCTGCTTTTTTTCCACACACACCCATACCTCTATCTTCCATCATTTTAAAATCATAGGCATTTCACCAATGGCCTTCTCAATCGAGTCTGCAAGTGCTACCACCCCTGGGCCCCCGAGAGATGTACCCCATCCCTTGCATACATATCATTTTTGCCATAAAATTGTTTCCAGTTGTCAATGAATGGGATTGCAAGTTTCCTTGCAGTATCTGTCCCAGGCCCCAATTTACACCAATTGCCCTAGACAACCATTCTTTCCTACTCCCCTTCTAGGCAAGATGCTACATATGATTGGGATCCCTCCCTTAGACTTAAGAAATCTATAGCTGACCTGTACTATCTAGCAGCTCTTCTCTCCTACCCTTCCCAATATCCATTTTCCACCAGCACTGAGACAGATAATGGGCTTGTTCCCATTACCTGACATGATATTATCCAGTCTGTTGACAATGTCCCCAACACCAGCTCCAGGGAAGCACACTCTATCTCTCATCTTCTTATTCCTATTACAAAAAGCACGGTCAACATATCTTACCTGAGAGTCACCAACCACAAGAATGCGCTTACCTTCATTAGCAGGGGCAGTAGTACCCTTACCTTCACTGGCCACTGAAGTACATTCATCCTGGAGAACAGAGAAGCGATTTCCTACCTTCAGATCTTCACTCTTAACTTTCCTTACTCTATAATAGTTGTAGTAACAGCAGTACTAGTAACAGTAGTAGTAATAGTTACACTAGTACTAGTGGTGTTCTGCTACACCATTATTACCATTACTGCACTGACAAGGGAACACTAAACCCGTATGGGTGACACACCTGGACTCTCAGAGATAAGACAACACAATAATGACCCTTATCACCTTATCTCTTGTTATCAATGATGATGGTTGATCACTGAGGTTATTATGGTCGTACAGAAGATCAGATGACAGAGGGATAAACCCGTAGGGGCCATGATAACCCAGGTACAATCAGGACGGGGAGAGATAAACCCGTAGGGGCCACGAAAAATAAGTAAATCAGGCACAATCACTAGTACAATCAGGGCGAGAAATAAACCCGTGAGGGCCGAGGTAAAGAGCCTGGCTGGAAAGGCAGGAAAGATCCGCCACCTTGGATCAAGAGATGGAGAGCAGACTCACCATCTCTTCGGAGGAAAATAATCAGAAAATAACAAAACAAAAAAATGAGAATTGAGACGTCAGCTGATTGTGATAAACTATAAGTAAATAAAACCAACAAACCAGACACTTACGATCCTCTTTTGTCACCATAAAGAATTAACTCATATATACCGAGTTTAGACTATATTATAGTGGCGCGGTCGACCCGTACGGGTCACATGCCGCTTATAACACTCTCCAGCAGTCAAGTTTGATCCGAGGAACACTGTTTAAACATCTAACTTAATATAAAATTAATAGGGTTCAAGTATTCAAATGAAGAATTTGATTCTTTCTATAAATATGTTGAAGTCAACAAAGGGGCGGCAAGATAACATTTACTTCTCTTATAACCTCCCGACACCTCTCCTCTGGCGCCAACTTTGTCTCAAACTTTCTCTTATTTACTTAATTTTTGGTAATATTAACTTTTATATTACTGTTAAAATGTCCCTGAAGATGCTATAATATATTAGTGGTGGCTTGGTAAGCCGGTGGTGGCTTGGTAAGTCAGTGGTGGCTTGGTAAGTCATTGGTGGCTTGGTAAGTCAGTGGTGGCTTGGTAAGTCAGTGGTGGCTTGGTAAGTCATTGGTGGCTTGGTAAGTCATTGGTGGCTTGGTAAGTCAGTGGTGGCTTGGTAAGTCAGTGGTGGCTTGGTAAGTCAGTGGTGGCTTGGTAAGTCAGTGGTGGCTTGGTAAGTCAGTGGTGGCTTGGTAAGTCAGTGGTGGCTTGGTAAGTCAGTGGTGGCTTGGTAAGTCAGTGGTGGCTTGGTAAGTCACTGGTGGCTTGGTAAGTCAGTGGTGGCTTGGTAAGTCAGTGGTGGCTTGGTAAGTCAGTAGTGGCTTGGTAAGTTAGTGGTGGCTTGGTAAGTTAGTGGTGGCTTGGTAAGTCAGTGTGGCTTGGTAAGTCAGTGGTGGCTTGGTAAGTCAGTGGTGGCTTGGTAAGTCAGTGGTGGCTTGGTAAGTCAGTGGTGGCTTGGTAAGTCAGTGGTGGCTTGGTAAGTCAGTGGTGGCTTGGTAAGTCAGTGGTGGCTTGGTAAGTCAGTGGTGGCTTGGTAAGTCAGTGGTGGCTTGGTAAGTCAGTGGTGGCTTGGTAAGTCAGTGGTGGCTTGGTAAGTCAGTAGTGGCTTGGTAAGTTAGTGGTGGCTTGGTAAGTTAGTGGTGGCTTGGTAAGTCAGTGGTGGCTTGGTAAGTCAGTGGTGGCTTGGTAAGTCAGTGGTGGCATGGTAAGTCAGTGGTGGCTTGGTAAGTTAGTGGTGGCTTGGTAAGTCAGTGATGGCTTGGTAAGTCAGTGGTGGCTTGGTAAGTCAGTGGTGGCTTGGTAAGTCAGTGGTGGCTTGGTAAGTCAGTGGTGGCTTGGTAAGTCAGTGGTGGCTTGGTAAGTCAGTGGTGGCTTGGTAAGTCAGTGGTGGCTTGGTAAGTCAGTAGTGGTGGCTTGGTAAGTCAGTGGTGGCTTGGTAAGTCAGTGGTGTGCTTGGTAAGTCAGTGGTGGCTTGGTAAGTCAGTGGTGGCTTGATAAGTTAGTGGTGGCTTGGTAAGTCAGTGGTGGCTTGGTAAGTTAGTGGTGGCTTGGTAAGTCAGTGGTGGCTTGGTAAGTCAGTGGTGGCTTGGTAAGTCAGTGGTGGCTTGGTAAGTTAGTGGTGGCTTGGTAAGCGGTGGTGGCTTGGTAAGTAGTGGTGGCTTGGTAAGTTAGTGGTGGCTTGGTAAGTGAGTGGTGGCTTGGTAAGTCAGTGGTGGCTTGGTAAGTCAGTGGTGGCTTGGTAAGTCAGTGGTGGCTTGGTAAGTTAGTGGTGGCTTGGTAAGTCAGTGGTGGCTTGGTAAGTTAGTGGTGGCTTGGTAAGTTAGTGGTGGCTTGGTAAGTCAGTGGTGGCTTGGTAAGTCAGTGGTGGCTTGGTAAGATAGTGGTGGCTTGGTAAGTCAGTGGTGGCTTGGTAAGTCAGTGGTGGCTTGGTAAGTCAGTGGTGGCTTGGTAAGTCAGTGGTGGCTTGGTAAGTCAGTGGTGGCTTGGTAAGTCAGTGGTGGCTTGGTAAGTCAGTGGTGGCTTGGTAAGTCACTGGTGGCTTGGTAAGTCGGTGGTGGCTTGGTAAGCCACTGGTGGCTTGGTAAACCACTGGTGGCTTGGTAAGTCAGTGGTGGCTTGGTAAGTCAGTGGTGGCTTGGTAAGCCACTCGTGGCTTGGTAAGTCAGTGGTGGCTTGGTAAGCCACTGGTGGCTTGGTAAACCACTGGTGGCTTGGTAAGTCAGTGGTGGCTTGGTAAGTCAGTGGTGGCTTGGTAAGTCAGTGGTGGCTTGGTAAGTCAGTGGTGGCTTGGTAAGTCACTGGTGGCTTGGTAAGTCGGTGGTGGCTTGGTAAGCCACTGGTGGCTTGGTAAACCACTGGTGGCTTGGTAAGTCAGTGGTGGCTTGGTAAGTCAGTGGTGGCTTGGTAAGCCACTGGTGGCTTGGTAAGTCACTGGTGGCTTGGTAAGTCGGTGGTGGCTTGGTAAGTCAGTGGTGGCTTGGTAAGTCAGTGGTGGCTTGGTAAGTCAGTGGTGGCTTGGTAAGTCAGTGGTGGCTTGGTAAGTCAGTGGTGGCTTGGTAAGTTAGTCGGTGGCTTGGTAAGTCAGTGGTGGCTTGGTAAGTCAGTGGTGGCTTGGTAAGTCAGTGGTGGCTTGGTAAGTCGGTGGTGGCTTGGTAAGTCGGTGGTGGCTTGGTAAGTCAGTGGTGGCTTGGTAAGTCAGTGGTGGCTTGGTAAGTCAGTGGTGGCTTGGTAAGTCAGTGGTGGCTTGGTAAGTCAGTGGTGGCTTGGTAAGTCAGTGGTGGCTTGGTAAGCCGGTGGTGGCTTGGTAAGTCAGTGGTGGCTTGGTAAGTCAGTGGTGGCTTGGTAAGTCAGTGGTGGCTTGGTAAGCCGGTGGTGGCTTGGTAAGTCAGTGGTGGCTTGGTAAGTCACTGGTGGCTTGGTAAGTCGGTGGTGGCTTGGTAAGTCAGTGGTGGCTTGGTAAGTCAGTGGTGGCTTGGTAAGTCAGTGGTGGCTTGGTAAGTCAGTGGTGGCTTGGTAAGTTAGTGGTGGCTTGGTAAGTCAGTGGTGGCTTGGTAAGTCAGTGGTGGCTTGGTAAGTCAGTGGTGGCTTGGTAAGTTAGTGGTGGCTTGGTAAGTCAGTGGTGGCTTGGTAAGTCAGTGGTGGCTTGGTAAGTCACTGGTGGCTTGGTAAGTTAGTGGTGGCTTGGTAAGTCAGTGGTGGCTTGGTAAGTCAGTGGTGGCTTGGTAAGTCAGTGGTGGCTTGGTAAGTCAGTGGTGGCTTGGTAAGTCACTGGTGGCTTGGTAAGTCAGTGGTGGCTTGGTAAGTCAGTGGTGGCTTGGTAAGTCAGTGGTGGCTTGGTAAGTCACTGGTGGCTTGGTAAGTCGGTGGTGGCTTGGTAAGTCACTGGTGGCTTGGTAAGTCGGTGGTGGCTTGGTAAGTCGGTGGTGGCTTGGTAAGTCAGTGGTGGCTTGGTAAGTCGGTGGTGGCTTGGTAAGTCACTGGTGGCTTGGTAAGTCGGTGGTGGCTTGGTAAGTCACTGGTGGCTTGGTAAGTCGGTGGTGGCTTGGTAAGTCACTGGTGGCTTGGTAAGTCGGTGGTGGCTTGGTAAGTCACTGGTGGCTTGGTAAGTCGGTGGTGGCTTGGTAAGTCAGTGGTGGCTTGGTAAGTCACTGGTGGCTTGGTAAGTCGGTGGTGGCTTGGTAAGTCACTGGTGGCTTGGTAAGTCGGTGGTGGCTTGGTAAGTCAGTGGTGGCTTGGTAAGTCGGTGGTGGCTTGGTAAGTCACTGGTGGCTTGGTAAGTCGGTGGTGGCTTGGTAAGTCGGTGGTGGCTTGGTAAGTCAGTGGTGGCTTGGTAAGTCGGTGGTGGCTTGGTAAGTCGGTGGTGGCTTGGTAAGTCACTGGTGGCTTGGTAAGTCGGTGGTGGCTTGGTAAGTCACTGGTGGCTTGGTAAGTCGGTGGTGGCTTGGTAAGTCACTGGTGGCTTGGTAAGTCGGTGGTGGCTTGGTAAGTCACTGGTGGCTTGGTAAGTCGGTGGTGGCTTGGTAAGTCACTGGTGGCTTGGTAAGTCGGTGGTGGCTTGGTAAGCCGCTGGTGGCTTGGTAAGTCGGTGGTGGCTTGGTAAGTCACTGGTGGCTTGGTAAGTCGGTGGTGGCTTGGTAAGCCGCTGGTGGCTTGGTAAGTCGGTGGTGGCTTGGTAAGTCACTGGTGGCTTGGTAAGTCGGTGGTGGCTTGGTAAGTCACTGGTGGCTTGGTAAGTCGGTGGTGGCTTGGTAAGTCACTGGTGGCTTGGTAAGTCGGTGGTGGCTTGGTAAGCCGCTGGTGGCTTGGTAAGTCGGTGGTGGCTTGGTAAGTCACTGTGGTGGCTTGGTAAGTCGGTGGTGGCTTGGTAAGCCGCTGGTGGCTTGGTAAGTCGGTGGTGGCTTGGTAAGCCGCTGGTGGCTTGGTAAGTCGGTGGTGGCTTGGTAAGTCACTGGTGGCTTGGTAAGTCGGTGGTGGCTTGGTAAGCCGCTGGTGGCTTGGTAAGTCGGTGGTGGCTTGGTAAGTCACTGGTGGCTTGGTAAGTCGGTGGTGGCTTGGTAAGCCGCTGGTGGCTTGGTAAGTCGGTGGTGGCTTGGTAAGCCGCTGGTGGCTTGGTAAGTCGGTGGTGGCTTGGTAAGCCGCTGGTGGCTTGGTAAGTCGGTGGTGGCTTGGTAAGTCGGTGGTGGCTTGGTAAGTCGGTGGTGGCTTGGTAAGCCACTGGTGTCTTGGTAAGCCACTGGTGTCTTGGTAAGCCACTGGTGTCTTGGTAAGTCACTGGTGGCTTGGTAAGCCACTGGTGACTTGGTAAGCCACTGGTGGCTTGGTAAGCCACTGGTGACTTGGTAAGCCACTGGTGTCTTGGTAAGCCACTGGTGTCTTGGTAAGTCACTGGTGGCTTGGTAAGCCACTGGTGACTTGGTAAGCCACTGGTGGCTTGGTAAGCCACTGGTGGCTTGGTAAGCGCTGGTGTCTTGGTAAGCCACTGGTGGCTTGGTAAGCCACTGGTGACTTGGTAAGCCACTGGTGGCTTGGTAAGCCACTGGTGGCTTGGTAAGTCACTGGTGGCTTGGTAAGTCACTGGTGGCTTGGTAAGTCACTGGTGGCTTGGTAAGTCACTGGTGGCTTGGTAAGTCACTGGTGGCTTGGTAAGTCACTGGTGGCTTGGTAAGTCACTGGTGGCTTGGTAAGCCACTGGTGGCTTGGTAAGTCACTGGTGGCTTGGTAAGCCACTGGTGGCTTGGTAAGCCACTGGTGGCTTGGTAAGCCACTGGTGGCTTGGTAAGTCACTGGTGGCTTGGTAAGCACTGGTGGCTTGGTAAGCCACTGTGGCTTGGTAAGTCACTGGTGGCTTGGTAAGTCACTGGTGGCTTGGTAAGCCACTGGTGGCTTGGTAAGCCACTGGTGGCTTGGTAAGTCACTGGTGGCTTGGTAAGTCACTGGTGGCTTGGTAAGCCACTGGTGGCTTGGTAAGCCGCCTACACCCAGAAAATGTTCTCTCCTAGGTCATCTTGCGGATTTACATTTTAATGCTTATTATTACTTATTATTACTTATTATTACTTATTATTACTTATTATTACTTATTTGCATATTTATTCAATTACGTTTAATTTACTTATTTACTAACTTATTTGCTTATTTAATCACATTTACATTTTACTTACTTATTTGCTCATATATTTACTTATTTACTGACTTATTTACTCATATATTCACTTATTTGCCCATATATTCACTTTTTCACTCATATATTCACTTATTTACTCATATATTTACTTATTTGCCCATATATTCACTTTTTCACTCATATATTCACTTATTTACTCATATATTTACTTATTTGCCCATATATTCACTTTTTCACTCATATATTCACTTATTTACTCATATATTTACTTATTTACTCATATATTCACTTATTTACTCATATATTCACTTATTTACTCATATATTTACTTATTTACTGACTTATTTACTCATATATTCACTTATTTACTCATATATTTACTTATTTACTGACTTATTTGCTCATATACTCACTTATTTACTCATATATTTACTTATTTACTCATATATTCACTTATTTACTCATATATTCACTTATTTACTCATATATTTACTTATTTACTGACTTATTTACTCATATATTCACTTATTTACTCATATATTCACTTATTTACTCATATATTCACTTATTTACTCATATATTCACTTATTTACTCATATATTCACTTATTTACTCATATATTCACTTATTTACTCATATATTCACTTAATTATGTTATTGTTGCAGAGTGGAAGAGATTGATCAATAATGGAGCGAGTGGAAGAGTTGCAAAGAGAAGTTGACGACGCTGTTGCAAGATTCCGGCACGCACAGCAACGCAAGTGGACCTTATTGGAAGACACCCGCAAGACACTGGTCCAGATACTGGTCTGCTGACACTGGCTGACACTAGCTGGCTCTAACTAACACTAGCTGACTCTAACTGACACTAGCAAGTGGACCTTATTGCAAGACACCCGCAAGACACTGGTCCAGATACTGGTCTGCTGACACTAGCTGGCTCTAACACTAGCTGACTCTAACTGACACTAGCTGGCTCTAACTGACACTAGCTGGCTCTAACACTAGCTGACTCTAACTGACACTAGCTGACTCTAACACTAGCTGACTCTAACTGACACTAGCTGGCTCTAACACTAGCTGACTCTAACTGACACTAGCTGGCTCTAACACTAGCTGACTCTAACTGACACTAGCTGGCTCTAACTGACACTAGCTGGCTCTAACTGACGCTAGCTGGCTCTAACACTAGCTGACTCTAACTGACACTAGCTGGCTCTAACTGACACTAGCTGGCTCTAACACTAGCTGGCTCTAACTGACACTAGCTGGCTCTAACACTAGCTGGCTCTAACTGACACTAGCTGGCTCTAACTGACACTAGCTGGCTCTAACTGACACTAGCTGACTCTAACACTAGCTGGCTCTAACTGACACTAGCTGGCTCTAACTGACACTAGCTGGCTCTAACTGACACTAGCTGGCTCTGACACTAGCTGGCTCTAACTGACACTAGCTGGCTCTGACACTAGCTGGCTCTAACTGACACTAGCTGGCTCTAACTAACACTAGCTGGCTCTGACACTAGCTGGCTCTAACTGACACTAGCTGGCTCTAACTGACACTAGCTGGCTCTAACTGACACTAGCTGGCTCTAACTGACACTAGCTGGCTCTAACACTAGCTGGCTCTAACTGACACTAGCTGGCTCTAACTGACACTAGCTGGCTCTAACTGACACTAGCTGGCTCTGACACTAGCTGGCTCTAACTAACACTAGCTGGCTCTAACTGACACTAGCTGGCTCTAACACTAGCTGGCTCTAACTGACACTAGCTGGCTCTAACTAACACTAGCTGGCTCTAACTGACACTAGCTGGCTCTAACTAACACTAGCTGGCTCTGACACTAGCTGGCTCTAACTGACACTAGCTGGCTCTAACTGACACTAGCTGGCTCTAACTGACACTAGCTGGCTCTGACTGACACTAGCTGGCTCTAACTGACACTATGTTCTGCAAGCTGTCTAACTGCACACTACTTAAGCCTAGTGCTCTAACTACTGACACTGACACTAGCTGGTCTAAACTGTACTTAACTGACACTAGCTGGCTCTAACTGACACTAGCTGGCTCTAACTGACACTAGCTGCTAACTGACACTAGCTGGCTTAACTAACACTAGCTGGCTCTAACATCTGACACTACTAGCTGGCTTAACTGACACTAGCTGGCTCTAACGACACTAGCTGGCTCTAACTGACACTAGCTGGCTCTAACTGACACTAGCTGGCTCTAACTGACACTAGCTGGCTCTAACACTAGCTGGCTCTAACTGACACTAGCTGGCTCTAACTGACACTAGCTGGCTCTAAACTACTGGGCACTAGCTGGCTCTAACTGACACTAGCTAGCTCTAACTGACACTAGCTGGTCTAACTGACACTATGGCTCTACACTAGCTGGCTCTAACTGACACTAGCTGGCTCTAACTGACACTAGCTGGTCTAACTGACACTAGCTGGCTCTCTGACACTAGCTGGCTCTAACTGACACTAGCTGCTCTAACTGACACTAGCTGGCTCTAACTGACACTAGCTGGCTCTACTGACACTAGCTGGCTCTAACTGACACTAGCTGGCTCTAATACATACTGCTCTAACTAGACTGCTGCTCTAGACACTAGCTGGCTCTAACTGACACTAGCTGGCTCTAACACTAGCTGACTCTAACTGACACTAGCTGGCTCTAACTACATAGCTGCTCTAACTGACACTAGCTGGCTCTAACTACTTCTAACGACCTAGCTGGCTCTAACTGACACAGTGGCTACTGACACTAGCTGCTCTAACTAACTAGGTCAACTGACTAGCTGGCTCTAACTGACACTAGCTGGCTCTAACTGACACTAGCTGGCTCTAACTACACTAGCTGGCTCTAACTGACACTAGCTGGCTCTAACTGACACACTGACTCTAATGACTCTAAGCTGGCACTAACTGACACTAGCTACACTACACTAGCTGGACTCTAACTGACACTAGCTGGCTCTAGCTGACACTAGCTGACACTAACTGACACTAGCTGGCTCTAGACACTAGCTGGCTCTAACTGACACTAGCATGGACTTCTGACAAGCTGCCTAACTGACACTAGCTGACTCTAACTGACACTAGCTGGCTCTAACTGACACTAGCTGGCTCTAACTGACACTAGCAGTGGCTTCTGCAGACTCACTACTGGTCTGAACTGACACTAGCTGACACTAGCTAATGACTTTCTGCGACTAACTGACACTGAACTAGGATCTAGACTGACACTAGCTGACACTAACTGACATATGGCATCTAATCAGACTAGCTGGTCTCTGAACTGACACTAGTATAATGACTGTCTGCTGACAACCACAAGACACTGGTACTGATCACTAAGCTGACATACTGTCTCTGACACTAAGACTGCTAAATACTAGACTGACTAGCATTGGATCCTTTCTGCAAGCGTATTAGGAACACTGGTCTGATACTAGTCTCTGACACTAGCTGCACGTATTCACTTACAGTGTCACCTACACATGTACAATAGCTGCATATACACAGCTATATACTTCTTGTCAGAATACCTAGTACGCCTACATTCAGATTCTTCTATATAAGCTTCTAACTTGTACAATGCAAACTATCGACCTTAGCTATTATAGTATTACCTAGTTCAGCTTATTTTCACTACCTAAGCTTATTTTCTAAGCTACTCATTTCAATTATTTGTACCATTTCAACTATTACACATCAGTTGTATTATCGATACCATTCCTGGACAACTTGTTTTAACCAGCATCAGACACTAATATATTTCCAATAAATGTAGTTTTCAACTATTACAATCAATGAATATAATTATAACTATTAAGTATTTTACCCTATCATTACCAGGTATTTCATTTCATATTAAGTATTTCAACTAAAATTACGTAGATTTTGCTATTATGAAGTTATTATAAATAACCTATTTCCGACAACTTGTTTTAACATTATTATATCCAAGATGCTTTTATTCGAAATTATTATATTATACAAACTATAATTCTCACTATAATTACTAATATATATTAAACGTACCTATATTCCATATTTTAATTATTTCACCATCATTATTCACTGTATTTCATCAAACTTATTATTCACCTATTTCCAAATTATATCCTATTTTCTATAATGTCTTTTTCACTTCTTTGACTTTTTATTTCAAGCTTAATCTTCATATTGTAAGTAATTTACCTAATTTTCATTTAAGTATTATATCACCTATATGTCCAATGGTATGTTTACCATCTTCAAGTTGTTGGTTGAAGGGTTTGATAGGAACAGACTCAAACTTTTTTGATCAAACTTATTGTTTCAAACAGGATTATCTATCACTCCAGGAACAGAAATAGACTTTTCAGCTTCAGAATTTTTTTTAATAATAATAGCCACAACAATAATAATTCCAGTATAATAATAATAATAATTTTAATATAACAGTAACAGTAATAATGATAATATTAATAATATCAGTAATAATAATTACAGTGATAATATATCAACAATAATTATTATTAACACCAATAATAATTAAGTGGTAAACCCACAAGGGTTATAAAGCATTTTATTATATAATGTCATGTGGTTTTGCACTTCTTTTTGATTATAATAATAATATAATGTACATAATAGTACCTATAATGTCATATAATGTACATAATAATACCTAAAATGTCATATATATAATAGTACCTATAATGTCATATAATGTATGTAATAGTACCTATAATGTCATATAATGTACATGTATAATAGTACCTATAATGTCATATAATGTACATGTATAATAGTACCTATAATGCATATAATGTACATAATACAGTGGACCCTCAGTTATCGGCCGTAATCCGTTCCAGAAGGATGGCCTAAAACTGAAATGACCGAGGTGGTTTGGTCATTTAGAGAGAATGGATCAAAGTAGAATGACATGGAGAGTGTATAAATCTATAGGGGAAGGAAGGTGGGGTAGGGGGGATCTTCGAAAAGGTTGGGGGGAGGGGGTAAAGGAGGTTTTGTGGGAGAGGGGCTTAGACTTCCAGCAAGAGCGCGTGAGCGTGTTAGATACACGTGAATGGAGACGAATGGTATTTGGGACCTGACAAGCTGTTGGAGTGTGAGCAGGGTAATATTTAGTGAAGGGATTCAGAGACACCAGTTATTTTTATATAGCTGGACTTGAGTCCTGGAAATGGGAAGTACAATGCCTGCATTTTAAAGGAGGGGTTCGGGATATTGGCAGTTTGGAGGGATATGTTGTGTATCTTTATACGTATATGCTTCTAAACTGTTGTATCTGGGCACCTCTGCAAAAACAGTGATTATGTGTGAGTGAAGTGAAAGTATTGAATGATGAAAGTATTTTCTTTTTGGGGATTTTCTTTCTTTTTGGGTCACCCTGCCTCGGTGGGAGACGGCTGACTTGTTAAAAAAAAAAATTAATCCGTTCCAGACATCCAAAAATATCCACAAAAAATACATTTTTTATAGATTAATTATAGTTTTACATACACAAAACAATGAGAACTAAATAAAATAAATACATGAACAATTAAATCAACACGTATTACATTCCTTTATTGAAGACTGTTGTTGGCTTGTGGAAGACAGGGAGGAGAGTTTACTGTTTGGAAGGGGAATCCCCCTCCATAAGGACTTCAGGTATCAAGTCCCTATCTGTGGTTACCTCCCTTCTTTGTCTGTTAATGCCACTAGGATTAGCTTGAGAGTCACTGAACCCCTGTTGCACAAAATATCTGTCCAGAGAGCTCTGTTTCTGGTGTCTCTCTAAGATTTCCCTGAATTGGGACAAGGTTCTGTCACTGAACATGTTGCAGATGTAACTTGTTTCAGCTTGGTCAGGGTGATATTTCCCAGCAAAACCTTGCACCCTAGTCCACATTGCACATATCTTCCTAATCTCTGAAGAAGGCATGTCCTTCACTCCCTCTTCCTCCTCCTCTGAAGCAAGTTCCTGAGCTGTGGTCTGTTGCTGTTCCAAATGAAGCTCTTGCAGCTCTTCAGTGGTTAGCTCTTCCCTGTGGTCCTCCACCAACTCTTCCACATCTTCACCACTAACCTCTAACCCCATGGACTTGCCCAGAGATACAGTAGATTCCACAACAGGCATAGGGTCCTCAGGGTCAGCCCCAAACCCTTCAGAAACCCTCTCTTCAACACATTTTGGCCACAATTTTCTCCAAGCAGAGTTCAGAGTCCTGGAAGTCACTCCCTCCCAAGCGTTATCTATAAGGCTTATGCAATGGAGGAAATTGAAATGATTCCTCCATAACTCTCTTAGGGCCAAATCTGTGTCTGAGGTCACTTCAAAACACCTTTGAAACACTGCTTTGGTGTAGTTTTTTGAAGTTAGAAATGACCTGCTGGTCCATGGGCTAGATGAGAGGAATGGTGTTAGGAGGCAAGAACTTCGTTGTGATGAAATGGAATTCCACAGACAATAGGTCTACCACCAAGTTTGTAGGATGAGCAGGAGCATTGTCCAGTACCAGGAGGCATTTTAGTGGCAATTTATGTTCCAGGAGGTATTTTTTCACACTCGGACCAAACACATCATTCACCCACTCTTTGAAAATTTGCCTTGTGTCTCGTGCATTATTGTTAGCCCTCCACATCACACTCAGTTTACTCTTGAAAACATTGTGTTTCTTGAACACTCTGGGATTTTTCAGAATGATACACCAGTAAAGGCTTCACTTTGAAATCCCCACTAGCATTAGCACAGAATAAAAGAGTAACCTTGTCTTTCATAGGCTTGGGGCTTTTCCTCCTGCATAATGTAGGTCCTCTTCGGCATTTTCTTAAAAAAAAACGGCCTGTTTCATCACAATTGAACACTTGTTGGGGAGGAATCCTTTAGCCTCTACATACCCCTTGAAATCTTCCACAAATTTTTCAGCTGCACATTTATCAGAACTTGCAGCCTCTCCATCCCCTACCACACTGTGTATGCCACTATGCTTCTTAAATCTCTCAAGCCAGCCTTTGCTGACCTTCAGTTCACTAACAGCAGCACTTGTTCCAGGCATTTTATTTACAAGATCCGCATACAACTGCTTTGCCTTCTCACAGATCACTGACTCCACTACACTATCTCCCGCTAATTGTTTTTCCCTGATCCACAACAATAATAACTTTTCTATATCTTCCATTATTGGTGACCTTTGTTTTGTTATCACATTTACTCCTTTCACAACATCAGCTTATTTGATTTGTTCTTTCTTTGCCAGGATGGAAGTGATGGTAGATTTGTTTTTCCCGTACATCCTGGCAAGTTCCAACACTAGCATACCGCTCTCAGATTTTTCAATCACCTCTCTATTAAATTCCATCGTGTTTCTCACTTTTTTACCACAGGAACTTTACTAGGAACTTTCTTTGGGGCCATGCTTACTTATTTCATAGTTGCACTTAATAAATAACAAATAAAAACACTGATTTATAGTGAAATGTTTGGATGAATGAGCAGAAGCTTCCTCACTCGGCCAGTGACACAGCTACACTCATTCAGGAACACGCAAAGCCGAAAAACCGGCCGATAAGTGAGTTGGCCTATAAGCAGAACAGCCGATAACCCAAGGTTCACTGTAGTACCTATAATGTCATATAATGTACATAATAGTACCTATAATGCACAAAATGTATGTAATAGTTCCTATAATGTCATATAACATACATAATAGTACCTATAGTGCATATAATGTACATAATAGTACCTATAATGTTCCACCTTTGTTATGTTGTAATGTTTGAGAAGGACCTACCTAGTAAGGGCCAGTAGGCTTCCTGCAGTGCTTTTCCCTTTATTGTTCTTATGGTTTCCCCACGTCAGCTTAGGCACACTGAGGCCATGCGTCAGAGGATGCAGGAATACTTCGAAGAGAGAAATCGAAGCCTCCATACAACCCTAATAAACATAGATGAAGCTCTGAACAAGGCTTCTGAGGTCCATGCCAGCATGTGTGACCTGCGGTCACAAGTTGTGGAAGCCTTCAACCAGAAGATGAAGCCTGAGGTCACGATTGAGGAAGGTAGTGTGTTGGTAAGTTACTGTAGCAGTGTGTTGGTAAGTTACTGTAGCAGTGTGTTGGTAAGTTACTGTAGCAGTGTGTGTAAGTCACTGTGCATTGGTTGGTAAGTTACTGTAGCAGTGTGTTGGTAAGTTACTGTAGCAGTGTGTTGGTAAGTCACTGTAGCATTGTGTTGGTAAGTTACTGTAGCAGTGTGTTGGTAAGTTACTGTAGCAGTGTGTTGGTAAGTCACTGTAGCATTGTGTTGGTAAGTTACTGTAGCAGTGTGTTGGTAAGTTACTGTAGCAGTGTGTTGGTAAGTCACTGTAGCAGTGTGTTGGTAAGTTACTGCAGCAGTGTGTTGGTAAGTTACTGTAGCAGTGTGTTGGTAAGTCACTGTAGCATTGTGTTGGTAAGTTACTGTAGCAGTGTGTTGGTAAGTTACTGTAGCAGTGTGTTGGTAAGTTACTGTAGCAGTGTGTTGGTAAGTTACTGTAGCAGTGTGTTGGTAAGTTACTGTAGCAGTGTGTTGGTAAGTTACTGTAGCATTGTGTTGGTAAGTTACTGTAGCAGTGTGTTGGTAAGCTACTGTAGCAGTGTGTTGGTAAGTTACTGTAGCAGTGTGTTGGTAAGTTACTGTAGCAGTGTGTTGGTAAGTTACTGTAGCAGTGTGTTGGTAAGTCACTGTAGCAGTGTGTTGGTAAGTTACTGTAGCAGTGTGTTGGTAAGTCACTGTAGCAGTGTGTTGGTAAGTTACTGTAGCAGTGTGTTGGTAAGTCACTGTAGCAGTGTGCTGGTAAGTTACTGTAGCAGTGTGTTGGTAAGTTACTGTAGCAGTGTGTTGGTAAGTTACTGTAGCAGTGTGTTGGTAAGTTACTGTAGCAGTGTGTTGGTAAGCTACTGTAGCAGTGTGTTGGTAAGTCACTGTAGCAGTGTGTTGGTAAGTTACTGTAGCAGTGTGTTGGTAAGTTACTGTAGCAGTGTGTTGGTAAGTTACTGTAGCAGTGTGTTGGTAAGTTACTGTAGCAGTGTGTTGGTAAGTTACTGTAGCAGTGTGTTGGTAAGTTACTGTAGCAGTGTGTTGGTAAGTTACTGTAGCAGTGTGTTGGTAAGTTACTGTAGCAGTGTGTTGGTAAGTCACTGTAGCAGTGTGTTGGTAAGCTACTGTATGCATGTGTGTTGGTAGTTACTGTAGCAGTGTGTTGGTAAGTTACTGTAGCAGTGTGTTGGTAAGTTACTGTAGCAGTGTGTTGGTAAGTTACTGTAGCAGTGTGTTGGTAAGTTACTGTAGCAGTTGTTGGTAGTTACTGTAGCAGTGTGTTGGTAAGTCACTGTAGCAGTGTGTTGGTAAGCTACTGTAGCAGTGTGTTGGTAAGTCACTGTAGCAGTGTATTGGTAAGTTACTGTAGCAGTGTGTTGGTAAGTTACTGTAGCAGTGTGTTGGTAAGTTACTGTAGCAGTGTGTTGGTAAGTCACTGTAGCAGTGTGTTGGTAAGTCACTGTAGCAGTGTGTTGGTAAGTCACTGTAGAAGTTACTGTAGCAGTGTGTTGGTAAGTTACTGCAGCAGTGTGTTGGTAAGTCACTGTAGCAGTGTATTGGTAAGTTACTGTATGTTGCAACCCCTGAATGGGTCACAATGTATATGATGTATATTATGTATATGTATATAATGTATATTATCTTAGCATTATTTTTTTTTTCACACTGGCCGATTCCCACCAAGGCAGGGTGGCCCGAAAAAGAAAAACTTTCACCATCATTCACTCCATCACTGTCTTGCCAGAAGGGTGCTTTACACTACAGTTTTTAAACTGCAACATTAACACCCCTCCTTCAGAGTGCAGGCACTGTACTTCCCATCTCCAGGACTCAAGTCCGGCCTGCCGGTTTCCCTGAACCCCTTCATAAATGTTACTTTGCTCACACTCCAACAGCACGTCAAGTATTAAAAACCATTCGTCTCCATTCACTCCTATCAAACACGCTCACACACGCCTGCTGGAAGTCCAAGCCCCTCGCACACAAAACCTCCTTTACCCCCTCCCTCCAACCTTTCCTAGGCCAACCCCTACCCTGCCTTCCTTTCACTACAGACTGATACACTCTTGAAGTCATTCTGTTTCGCTCCATTCTCTCTACATGTCCGAACCACCTCAACAACCCTTCCTCAGCCCTCTGGACAACAGTTTTGGTAATCCCGCACCTCCTCCTAACTTCCAAACTACGAATTCTCTGCATTATATTCACACCACACATTGCCCTCAGACATGACATCTCCACTGCCTCCAGCCTTCTTCTCGCTGCAACATTCATCACCCATGCTTCACACCCATATAAGAGTGTTGGTAAAACTATACTCTCATACATTCCCCTCTTTGCCTCCAAGGACAAAGTTCTTTGTCTCCACAGACTCCTAAGTGCACCACTCACCCTTTTCCCCTCATCAATTCTATGATTCACCTCATCCTTCAAAGACCCATCTGCTGACACGTCCACTCCCAAATATCTGAATACATTAACCTCCTCCATACTCTCTCCCTCCAATCTGATATCCAATCTTTCATCACCTAATATTTTTGTTATCTTCATAACCTTACTCTTTCCTGTATTCACTTTTAATTTTCTTCTTTTCCACACCCTACCAAATTCATCCACCAATCTCTGCAACTTCTCTTCAGAATCTCCCAAGAGCACAGTGTCATCAGCAAAGAGCAACTGTGACAACTCCCACTTTATGTGTGATTCCTTATCTTTTAACTCCACACCTCTTGTCAAGACCCTCGCATTTACTTCTCTTACAACCCCATCTATAAATATATTAAACAACCACGGTGACATCACACATCCCTGTCTAAGGCCTACTTTTACTGGGAAATAATTTCCCTCTTTCCTATGTACTCTAACTTGAGCCTCACTATCCTCGTAAAAACTCTTCACTGCTTTCAGTAACCTACCTCCTACACCATACATCTGCCACATTGCCCCCCTATCCACCCTGTCATACGCCTTTTCCAAATCCATAAATGCCACAAAGACCTCTTTAGCCTTATCTAAATACTGTTCACTTATATGTTTCACTGTATATGTTCACTTATATGTTTCACCTGGTCCACACACCCCCTACCTTTCCTAAAGCCTCCTTGTTCATCTGCTATCCTATTCTCCGTCTTACTTTTAATTCTTTCAATAATAACTCTACCATACACTTTACCAGGTATACTCAACAGACTTATCCCCCTATAATTTTTGCACTCTCTTTTGTCCCCTTTGCCTTTATACAAAGGAACTATGCATGCTCTCTGCCAATCCCTAAGTACCTTACCCTCTTCCATACATTTATTAAATAATTGCACCAACCACTCCAAAACTATATCCCCACCTGCTTTTAACATTTCTATCTTTATCCCATCAATCCCGGCTGCCTTACCCCTTTCATTTTACCTACTGCCTCACGAACTTCCCCCACACTCACAACTGGCTCTTCCTCACTCCTACAAGATGTTATTCCTCCTTGCCCTATACACGAAATCACAGCTTCCCTATCTTCATCAACATTTAACAATTCCTCAAAATATTCCCTCCATCTTCCCAATACCTCTAACTCTCCATTTAATAACTCTCCTCTCCTATTTTAACTGACAAATCCATTTGTTCTCTAGGCTTGCTTAACTTGTTAATCTCACTCCAAAACTTTTTCTTATTTTCAACAAAATTTGTTGATAACATCTCACCCACTCTCTCATTTGCTCTCTTTTTACATTGCTTCACCACTCTCTTAACCTCTCTCTTTTTCTCCATATACTCTTCCCTCCTTGCATCACTTCTACTTTGTAAAAACTTCTCATATGCTAACTTTTTCTCCCTTACTACTCTCTTTACATCATCATTCCACCAATCGCTCCTCTTCCCTCCTGCACCCACTTTCCTGTAACCACAAACTTCTGCTGAACACTAACACTACATTTTTAAACCTACCCTATACCTCTTCGACTCCATTGCCTATGCTCTCATTAGCCCATCTATCCTCCAATAGCTGTTTATATCTTTCCCTAACTGCCTCCTCTTTTAGTTTATAAACCTTCACCTCTCTCTTCCCTGATGCTTCTATTCTCCTTGTATCCCATCTACCTTTTACTCTCAGTGTAGCTACAACTAGAAAATGATCTGATATATCTGTGGCCCCTCTATAAACATGTACATCCTGAAGTCTACTCAACAGTCTTTTATCTACCAATACATAATCCAACAAACTACTGTCATTTCGCCCTACATCATATCTTGTATACTTATTTATCCTCTTTTTCTTAAAATATGTATTACCTATAACTAAACCCCTTTCTATACAAAGTTCAATCAAAGGGCTCCCATTATCATTTACACCTGGCACCCCAAACTTACTACCACACCCTCTCTAAAAGTTTCTCCTACTTTAGCATTCAGGTCCCCTACCACAATTACTCTCTCACTTGGTTCAAAGGCTCCTATACATTCACTTAACATCTCCCAAAATCTCTCTCTCTCCTCTACATTCCTCTCTTCTCCAGGTGCATACACGCTTATTATGACCCACTTTTCGCATCCAACCTTTACTTTAATCCACATAATTCTTGAATTTACACATTCATATTCTCTTTTCTCCTTCCATAACTGATCATTTAACATTACTGCTACCCCTTCCTTTGCTCTAACTCTCTCAGATACTCCAGATTTAATCCCATTTATTTCCCCCCACTGAAACTCCCCTACCCCCTTCAGCTTTGTTTCGCTTAGGGCCAGGACATCCAACTTCTTTTCATTCATAACATAAGCAATCATCTGTTTCTTGTCATCCGCACTACATCGACGCACATTTAAGCATCCCAGTTTTATAAAGTTTTTCTTCTCTTTTTTAGTAAATGTCTACAGGTGAAGGGGTTACTAGCCCATTGCTCCCGGCATTTTAGTCGCCTCATACGACACGCATGACTTACGGAGGAAAGATTCTTTTCCACTTCCCCATGGACAATAGAAGAAATAAAGAAGAACAAGAGC